GGGCGGGGGGGGGGTTGGCGAGACTTCTTGACACCTGAGTTTCTGTCCCAGCTCTGCCTTGCTCTGCTAGGTGACTTAGGTAAACGCAACCCATTTTTTGGACCTCAGTTTCCCCAACGATGCAATGACATATGGCACTTGAGTGGCTCCGGATTTTAGCATATACCAGAGCCACATTGAGGGATGTTAACACAGGCTGCTGGGCCCGGCCCGGAGCTTCTGGGGTGAGCCCGCACACGGTGCTGGTGCTCCCATCCCTGCAACCACAATCCGAGGACCCTGGACCCTCAGGCTCACGTGCTTCCCTCCACAGGAGATCTCAACGAGACGGATTGTGACAGGCAGACCTGCGAGTGTGACAAGAGTGTGGTCCTGTGCTTACAGAACCAGACCTACAACGAGGAGCACCGCAACTACCTCAACGTCTACTGCCAGGGCACCACCCCCAACTGCAGCATCTACGAGCAGCCTCGGAAGGAGGCCTGCAGGCCTGTCTCCCAGGCGCCCCCTACACCTCCCTAGCACCCTCTGGGGTCTGACAGAGAAGAGGGATGGAGGTTCCAGCTTTGAGGACCAGACACATGCAGCAAGTGGAGGTGGGGGCAGATCGGGAGCCCACAGGTTGCACAGCCTCCTCCTCCATGGAGCCCTCCAGCCAGGCTGGTCCCCAGAGACTCCTCCAGCTCAGCACTGGGCATGGCCGCATCCTACCGCTGGTCGTGGACTTGGCAGGGAACATGTGGCTTGATGGGGTCTCTCCTGAGCGTGGAAGGCAAGTCCTGAGAGAGAGGCATCAGGCCCCCAGGTCCTCAACATATGGGGCCCAGCCCTTCAGCCTCTCTCTCTGCTCCTCCCCTCATGCAGCAGCCAGGCCAGTGGGTAGAAAGACCCCAGATCCCACTCTCCCTTGGCTGGAAGAGGGGGATCAGAAGCCCTCTCGATGGGGAAGAGGCTGAGGGCTGAGACTCACCTTAGTGAAAAGGGAAGCAAAGGCAGGAGGGTCTGGGCCACGGCAGGAGGCTGCATGGAAGATTCAGGAAGACAGTAGGGAGGGAGCAGCCTGGCAAAGGGGGAAGGGAGGGGAAGGGAGGGAGGGGCGAGATAAGGCGAGGGCCAGCTGTCCAGACCAGAGTGGTCTTGGCGGGAGAAGCAAGGTAGGAGAGCCTTAGGGATCCTCCGAGCCCAGGTTCCTGTTGAGGTCTGTGGATTGTGGGCAGAGGCGGAGGATGATCAGGCCTCAGCAGAACCAGTCTTCCTGACTCTCCAGGTGCACATACCCCACTCCTACCATGTTTTACCTCCTGATCTCGGGGTCAGCGACCTCTGATAGCCAGTGTGCTCTGCCTTACCCAGTCCTTCGGCCTTCATCCAGTGTCAACCCCGAGGACCCACTGACACAGTGCTGGGACCCACCTGGACACTCAGAATAGCCACCAAGATGTTTGACCCGACCTGACAGAGCCCCCAAGGACCACTGTCATCGGGGGAGAGACAGCCAAGAAGGGTGGTGGCAGGGAGAGAATGTCTATGGAAAAGATGGCAGGACTGGGCAGAAGCCTTGCCAAGCTGCAGCTTCTAGAACACCAGCCTTCAGGACCACAGGTGGAGCTGCTGCTGGAGTCACCTGTCACTGTGTGCGGGAGGGAGCCCTTCCACTACTCACCTTCTGCCGGCTGCGGTGTGATGACTGTGGTCCTCATGTGCCCTGACTAACCTGCCCCAGCTACCTTCTCCTCACCTTCCTGAGCTGGGATGGACCAAGCTGGTGCCCCTGGAGTCCCTTTGGAGGTTGGGACTGCAGAGGCCTCCGCCCTTTAGCTATGGAAGCCCAGGTTTCTGGCTGTCGCCCTATGTGTGCACACACCCTCCCCTCCTGAATGCCTGAACCAGCGTTTGGGATGAGATTCTCTGTGAAGGACTCTTGCCTGCCCCACCCCCACCTCACCCCAGACTCTCCCTGATGCTGCAGCCCCCAGAGACCTGTCACAGGACATGGCACGCCCTCCTCAAACTAATAAAGGCCTCCTGCCTCAACTCCCCACTGCTGGTTCTCCTTGGCATGGTCCTTGCTGGCCAGGTGTTGGGGAAGGGCATGGTGACTTGGTCTGCAGCTCTGTAGAAAGCTGGTTCTCTGCCACACAGCAACTGACATATCTCGTCCCCTTTCTGCCCCCAGCCTGGCTAAAGTGGCCCTCCTCCAGCAGAGAGGCAAATGTTGAGAAGGTTGGAAATGGTGCCAAAGCCACAGGCACTGTAGTCCAGTGGTCAGAAAATACCGACTACTTGGTTAAGCATTTAGTGTCAGGTGTCAGACTCCAGAATGCTCTCCCTTCATCCCATCCTTTTTTTGTTGAACAACTAAGTTCCCGAGAGGGCGAGTAACTTGCCCAAAGTCACACAGGGTGTAAGTTATGGGCTGGGATCTGAACCCTCCTTACACTTTCTTCACGACTCAGGCAGCTGGGGGAAGGGAGATGAGTGACAGAATCCAGCAGGGCACCAGGTCCTGGGTCCTAAAACTGGCCCTTTTTCCAACTTAGGTCTTTCCCTGTTATGGGCATCAGTTTTCCCCATGTGCAGAGTGATGAGAACAGCTATTTCAGATGCTCCCCAAAGCCATGTGGTTTCTTGGGGACATCTAGGGATGATCTCTGGGGAACGAGAGGCTGAGCCCTGCCCCCCACCCCAACTCAATCTTCAGTTGAGCAGCCCTGCTTTTCCCATAGTCTATATTGAGCTTCGCATAAAATACTTGAAGAAAAGAGATTCTTGAGCGAATTTTTTTAAAGTTTGCAAACTCCTGGACAAGATTATCCATTGGTCCATTCACTCAGTGGACCTATACGGATGGTCTCCTATGGACTGGGCACGACTCTGGGTTTGGGTCAGACACCACTGATGAGACACAGCCTCTACCTGCAGGAAGCCCACGGTCTGGCGGGGAGAGGACACATGTGGATCGATAACCTTGACGCAAGGTGCCAAGTGTGTCGTGGTGAGCACGGAGGATGAAGCCCCAGGTGTGTCCATGGCAGTCCTGGAAAAGACCCCAAAAGGACAAGGAGCAGAGCTGGGATGGTGTATGAGGTCTCTGGAGGTGAAGAGGAGGAGTGGGGTTCGCATTTTTTGAGGAACAGGCTCCTTCCTTCTGCACTCTGGTGAAGGGGGGTGGGGGATGACCTCCCTTCTTCAGGATGCCTTCCAAGGTCGTGAGGCCTTTTATACTAAGGCTCGAGGAAGAGGCTGCACTTGCTTCGCACTGGTCTGGGGGCTGCCATTGACCAAAATCCTCTTCTTGACCAAACTTAACCCTCTAAGACCTTTTCTCTACCAGACATCAACCTGTGGGCTTCCTTGTTTACCTCGGCATTACTCAGTTTTAGCAAGAATCTTGCCATCTCAGTTTAGTGAGAATCCCCACCCACCATCTGACCAGACTTCACATCCACCACCATCCGCAGGTGATATCTGATCACGTGGCCTCCTTTTAGCAAGAATTCTGTTAGGTCAGCTTAGCAAGAGTTATCTCCCCGTCTTAGCAATTTTCCATCCACTGCTCCCCTGGCCCTGCTCCTTAGCTATAAATCTCTACTTAAGAAAATTGGTGTATTCAGAATTGAGCTCAATTCTACACTGGCCCCTGTTGCAATAGTTCTTAAATAAAATCTGTTTTTATCACTTAAACTATTGTCCAGCATCTGTTTTTCTGACCAGATGCTGACAATCTAGTTTTCTGACCAGATGCTGAGTGGTGTCGTGACTTGGGTGGGATCTGATTCATCATTGGACCCTGGACCTCTCACCCAGGATTTTAAGTGTGCACCTTGGAAGCCTTAGTCTTCACACCTGACTGATGGATCGGGGTCCATTGGTGAGCCCTTCCCAAGCCAGCGCTCTGGGTAACTGTTGGTCGGGACAGGCTTCGATTCCTAAGGTCCTGAGTGTACTCTCGAAGCAGGGTTAGCCCCAGGCTGCTTTGTCTGAAAGGTATCTACTGGGATGGGAGTATTCCCTCCTTTCGACTGAAGCTTCACTCCCTGACCCTCTAGGCTGGAAAGTTTTTCCCAGCTCCTTGCAAAGCTTCTCTGTTCTCTCTGTTTGACCCTGCTTCTCCCAAGGGAACTTCTCAGTCGACTGAAACCCCCCTTCTCAAATCATTGTTAAATTGGGACTTCCCTGGAGAAATTTGAGATGTTCCCATAGTGGCTAAAACCTCTGAGACCTCTCCCTTTCCATCTCCCCCTCTTACCACCTCGGTCTTCCCTTCGGTTCCCTTGAATGCACTGATAGGACCCACTTCAAGTCCTTGCCCCCTCCATCCCTCCATCCCTCCATCCACCCTGCCAGGTCTTTCCCCCTGTCTCCTCCAGTCCTGCAACAAACTACAGTCGCTTGAACTTCAGGCTCCTCTCTCCCCATCAAGGGCTCTCTAGAGACACAGGGACTCTGGAAAGCATCTACAAGAAGCCAAAAAGAAAAACGTTCTCTGGAAACCAACTGGATATTCTATCCACTCAGGTGGGCTTTGGGGACATCCATAGGGCTGCTTGATGTCCCCTCAGTCTCTTGCCTAAAATGTAGTCCATAGCCTTCTTAAGATTAGGTATGAGGGCAACAAAAATCTCATGTCTCCTCCACAAATATTGGTACAAAACTTTAGCCCTTACGTTCAATAAGTAATCTCAACTTGTCCCATCTGCCAGAAATGTAATTCAGATAAAAAATATAAAAGAGCAGAGATGAGATCCAACTATTTTACATAAACCAGTGACTTCGTATCACTGTTTTAGTGATTTACAGCTAAAATTTTAGAATGAAACCTGTAAGACCTCTATTTGCATCCATCAGTATGTGTAAATATCTAAGTATGTATGTATGTGATGTATATGTGATATTTTTCTATTGAAGAGGAAATTTGGGGAATTTCATTAAAAACTCAGCTTTCTGCTTCTGCAGATATGCTTGCCTTCTGCAAATAAGCTTACTGCACGCAAGGGCTCCTGCAAAAGCTCTTTTGCTCTTGGCTCGACTTGCAAATGTAGCTGTTTGTGACTTTGGTCCACTAATGTAACTGTTTGTACCCTAGCAGCTCCCCACTCATGTAGCACTTTGTACCCCACAATTCCCACTTCCTGTAACAATTTGTAACCCTCAATGTCCTTAGCAACTCCTGCCCTTACCAATGTTACTACCTGCAATCTGCATAGCAATTCCTGTTGTTTGTAACGGTCCGAGTTCAAACTGAGCAATCAGATTGTGTAAAAACTCTGTATATAAGCAAGGTTGCAACTGCACTCGCTACCCAGATCTTCAGAGCACTAGCTCATCTGGGGCTGCGCATAATAAATTCGAATGCTCCTTCTTTCTGAGTTACTGCTTGGCTTTTCATTGCACTGGGTTTTGGAGCTTTGGGGATACTTTTCCACAACACTATGAAAGATGGTATTAACAGATGCATTTATGAAATCCCTTAAAGGACTTTTATTCAAAATGGCTTGGGGATAAATAAGAACTTATATAAA